CCCCCCGTATTTTTTTTTGCTTCAAACCCTCCTCCTGGCAATCCTATCCCATGAATTAAATTTTTGATCTCATTGAGATAATTTTCTGTGCCATAAGTTTCACACTGCTGAATCATCCCATTTAGTCAAGATCTTAAGACAAGAGAATAAAACCCCCTTTCTTTTGGTGACAATTTATTTTCAAGATTTGGTCTTATGTTTCTCATTGATTTTAGCGTGACATTAGACTTACTTGAATTACTTTTTTAATTTTGTAAAAAAAAACAAATTTTGTAACTCATTATGGTATTAACATTTTAAAGTCTTGCAAAGAATGTTTATATGATTCATAGAATTAGTAGATGATGCAATGGACTACAAGTTTTGTATCAGAATCAATGGGAATGCTTGAATATTTACACATCTTCTAAGATTTTTATAAAATAATTTTTCTATGAATACAACGTAATAGATTTATTTTTAAATATTTATATCACCCCCATAAAGAGCCTATGTGTGCTGCATTTATATTTAATTTACAATTAAAATCCCCTTTGATGGCAACACAGATAGAAAATTAATGGCCTTCTCTATATTTATACTACAATCCCCTGTCAAGTGTACATTTTATCACAATATTAAAAATGGTTCATAGTTTTATATTATATATATATTCCAATGTTTCATTGCACATTCTGGGTCAGAGACTCATAGTTTTATTTTCCAAATTGTTTCATTGTACATTCTGGGTCAGAGAGTCTTGGACAAGTACAATGAAAATATAGTGGCATCGTTGACTCTGTTGGGGTGTATTTTATTAGCTAATTAGGTTCATTTTTTAAAAACATCCATTTTGGTCATCATCTCCAGGAATATGAGAGGTTGTGAATTTCAAATGTTTCATACGTTTCAAAACTTTAATTTTCTGTCACTGACTCGGATCAAAATGTTAATGCCAATGTTATTGTACATCCAGTGGACAGTTGTTCAAAGGTCCATAACTTTGACATCTTTGTTTTTACATGATGTTGTTGTTGATATATTTCTAATTCCAGTTTACTCTTTATGTTGTTCATCATGATATGTGTGCATCCACTGGGAAAAAATAAGAAATTTATTGTACTACATTCCATGTAGCACATTCATCTCAAGGAACAAAACTAGGGAACCAAACATACACATACACACATATTTTATCATTTTTTTTTCAAAGTTCTTGTTGATAAATTTAAATGATGGTTTGCTCAAATTGACTTATTTAAAAAATAAAAATATAAGAACACACTCAAAGACGAGCAGCACCTGTCATATGTCACAGGACCTGTTGTGTGCCACAGCACCTGTCATGTGCCACATCACTTTTGTGTGCCACATCACTTTTGTGTGCCACATCACCTGTCATGTGCCACAGTACCTGTTGTGTGCCACATCACCTGTCGTGTGCCACAGGACCTGTCGTGTGCCACAGGACCTGTCCTGTGCCACATCAACTGTCATATCCCACAGGACCTGTTATGTGCCACAGCAGTTGTCATGTGCCGCAGGATCTGTTGTGTGCCACAGCAATTGTCATGTGTCACAGGACCTGTTATGTGCCACAGCAGTTATCATGTGCAACATCCCCTAACGTGTGCCACAGCAGTTGTCATGTGTCACAGGACCTGTTGTGTACCACAGCAGTTGTCATGTGCCACAGGACCTGTCATGTGCAACATCCCCTAACGTATGCCACAGCAGTTGTCATGTGCCACAGGACCTGTTGTGTGCCACAGCAATTGTCATATGTCACAGGACCTGTTATGTGCCACAGCAGTTATCATGTGCAACATCCCCTAACGTGTGCCACAGCAGTTGTCATGTGTCACAGGACCTGTTGTGTACCACAGCAGTTGTCATGTGCCACAGGACCTGTCATGTGCAACATCCCCTAACGTATGCCACAGCAGTTGTCATGTGACACAGCACCTGTTGTGTGCCACAGAACCTGTAGTGTGCCACAGCTTGTTGCTGCACCACTGCTCAATATGAAAAGTGATAGTAAATATTCAATGGACAGCACAGTTTGAAAGTTTACATTTTTCATTGAATAAATTAAATCACAAAAATAAAATACAGATAGTGCAATAACTGTTACTGGCTGACTTTGAAGAAGTGTAGACTAAAAAAAAAAGAAGATATCTTGAACAGGGGAACTTGAATATTATCATTGTAAGTCAAGCCAAATAAAAGCTGATTTCATATTGTGCGCAAGTGTTAAGTTTCATTAATAATAAAAAAAGAAAACAATAGAGTTCAAACCACAGCCAAAACCAATAGGGGTCCAATATAAGAGAATCAACAATTTTCTGGCAGTGTCCACTTTTGATTGACCACTGTCCAGCCCCCTTAAGGATTTGTCCACTCCATTTATACTCCTACCGTCTTAAACTCTTGTAGTGATGGCCCCTATTGTGAAATAGTGAAGACCAGAGATCTTTGTTTTTGTCATTGTTGTTACCTCACCAGACAATTTCACAATACATTTATCATGTCATAATACGTACAAAACATTTATCATGTCATAATGCATACAGTACATTTGATCATGTCATAATGCATACAGTACATTTATCATGTCATAATACATACAGTACATTTATCATGTCATAATACATACAGTACATTTATCATGTCATAATGCATACAGTACATTTATCATGTCATAATACATACAGTACATTTATCATGTCATAATGCATACAGTACATTTATCATGTCATAATACATACAGTACATTTGATCATGTCATAATGCATACAGTACATTTGATCATATTCTTGAGATTTTGTTTTTAACATCCCATCATAATGTTCTCAAAAGAACTTGTGAATTCAAGAACAAAGTTTCTCAAGTAATTTCGTAAAGTTGTTACAGAATATCTTAAGGGTCAGCAGACTTTTTCATTAAAAGTTTTAGTTTTTCGACTAGTGCCTTTAAAATTGGAGGGACTTGTCAGTTGGTCCGATCAATTCTTTGATAAATTTGTTAGTAGGATCATTCAAATCTTTGATAAATTTGTTAGTAGGATCATTCAAATCTTTGATAAATTTGTTAGTAGGATCATTCAAATCTTTGATAAATTTGTTAGTAGGATCATTCAAATCTTTGATAAATTTGTTAGTAGGATCATTCAAATCTTTGATAAATTTGTTAGTAGGATCATTCAAATCTTTGATAAATTTGTTAGTAGGATCATTCAACTCTTTAATACATTTGTTAGTAGGATCATTCAAATCTTTGATTAATTTGTTAGTAGGATCATTCAACTCTTTAATACATTTGTTAGTAGGATCATTCAATTCTTTGATACATTTGTTAGTAGGATCATTCAAATCTTTGATAAATTTGTTAGTAGGATCATTCAACTCTTTAATACATTTGTTAGTAGGATCATTCAATTCTTTGATACATTTGTTAGTAGGATCATTCAACTCTTTGATACATTTGTTAGTAGGATCATTCAAATTTTTGATACATTTGTTAGTAGGATCATTCAAATCTTTGATACATTTGTTAGTAGGATCATTCAAATCTTTGATAAATTTGTTAGTAGGATCATTCAACTCTTTAATACATTTGTTAGTAGGATCATTCAATTCTTTGATACATTTGTTAGTAGGATCATTCAAATCTTTGATACATTTGTTAGTAGGATCATTCAATTCTTTGATACATTTGTTAGTAGGATCATTCAAATCTTTGATACATTTGTTAGTAGGATCATTCAAATCTTTGATACATTTGTTAGTAGGATCATTCAAATCTTTGATACATTTGTTAGTAGGATCATTCAACTCTTTAATACATTTGTTAGTAGGATCATTCAATTCTTTGATACATTTGTTAGTAGGATCATTCAAATCTTTGATACATTTGTTAGTAGGATCATTCAATTCTTTGATACATTTGTTAGTAGGATCATTCAAATCTTTGATACATTTGTTAGTAGGATCATTCAATTCTTTGATACATTTGTTAGTAGGATCATTCAATTCTTTGATACATTTGTTAGTAGGATCATTCAAATCTTTGATACATTTGTTAGTAGGATCATTCAATTCTTTGATACATTTGTTAGTAGGATCATTCAAATCTTTGATACATTTGTTAGTAGGATCATTCAATTCTTTGATACATTTGTTAGTAGGATCATTCAAATCTTTGATACATTTGTTAGTATGATCATTCAAATTTTTGATACATTTGTTAGTTGGATCATTCAAATCTTTGATACATTTGTTAGTAGGATCATTCAATTCTTTGATACATTTGTTAGTAGGATCATTCAATTCTTTGATACATTTGTTAGTAGGATCATTCAAATCTTTGATACATTTGTTAGTAGGATCATTCAATTCTTTGATACATTTGTTAGTAGGATCATTCAAATCTTTGATACATTTGTTAGTAGGATCATTCAATTCTTTGATACATTTGTTAGTAGGATCATTCAATTCTTTGATACATTTGTTAGTAGGATCATTCAATTCTTTGATACATTTGTTAGTAGGATCATTCAAATCTTTGATACATTTGTTAGTAGGATCATTCAATTCTTTGATACATTTGTTAGTAGGATCATTCAAATCTTTGATACATTTGTTAGTAGGATCATTCAATTCTTTGATACATTTGTTAGTAGGATCATTCAATTCTTTGATACATTTGTTAGTAGGATCATTCAATTCTTTGATACATTTGTTAGTAGGATCATTCAAATCTTTGATACATTTGTTAGTAGGATCATTCAATTCTTTGATACATTTGTTAGTATGATCATTCAAATCTTTGATACATTTGTTAGTAGGATCATTC